ATCTGGAATGCCAATCCATGGACTTTGCTCTTGGAATCCTAGAGGGGGACCTGGGGAACCAATCTGGAATGTCAATCCATGGACTTTGCTCTTGGAATCCTAGAGGAGGACCTGGGGAAGCAATCTGGAATGCCAAGGGCCACTCCATTCCGCCTCCCTCAAGGATTCTGGGTTTTGTTGCCTGAGATATAGTCAAATATCCATCTCTATCTTCCTACCTGCTTATGCATTTATTTAACAGGACAGTGGAGTGAATAACTTAAGAACGTGGATTCAAGCCCCAGGACGATAAGTAAATTCAACTTTCTGTGTCTCAGTCTCCCCACCTGTAAATGGGAGTAATACTCCCTACCTCATCAGAGTGTTGTGCAGATCAAAAAACGCTACCTAGCAGGAGGCACCTGCTCAGCACATAGCAATCCCCAGGTGCATGCCTGGAAGCTGCCTAAATTACAGGGAGGAAAAAAAACCCAGGAACCAGCCTCCAAATAGCCACAGTTACATACTTCAACTTAACAAAATGATTAAATCAGATCATTCTTAAACCAAAAAGCTAATTTGGAAATTTAATTATTTTGAAAGACAGGTCCCCCGTGGCTTACTTATTGCATGATGCTGGAGTAGGAGAAAAAGTTAATAGCTTTCTAATCATATCAACTTTCTGTTTTAAAAACCTGGTTCTCATTTATAAGTCTGTCAAGGGATTATCAAGCTAGTTGCTTTACGCTCTTAATTCACAAAACAGAAATAAGTTAGTGCAAATGCATTAGATCATTGTCCCTTAAATCACTCCTTTTTAAGTTGAAGCGATTAAACTCATTCATTTTTATGGACGTTGTTAATAAACCCATTTATCAGAAATTTGACTTTATTAAGTTTAGCCCGCAGTCTTCATGAAATAACTCAAGGAAGATTCTACAGCCCCTGCCTCATATCTGCACACCTGACCTTACTTCATTGGCAAAGCCAATGACAAGAAAACAAAAATGCAGAATTCATCCGAGAGATGTCAAACGGAAAGATCTCGACTTTCTTAGGGCTGAATAAGAAACGTGGAGTCTAAACAAACCAAAACCCACAGAAACAGGGGATGGATTGGTGGTTGCCAGAGGCGGTGGGGGGTGGAGGGGGCGGAGAGGGGTGGTTGAAGGCGGTCAAAGGACACCGTTCTGGTTATAGGGTGAACGCATGCTAGGGATGTAACATTCAGCATGGTGACTACAGTTCATAATACTTTCCTGTGTATTTGAAAGTTGCTAAAAGAGTAGATTTTACAAGTTTTCAGTACACACACACACATTATAATGATGTAGGTGATGGATGTGTTAGTAACCTTATCGTGGTCATCATTGTGCAATACGGTGGTCCCCCCTTACCTGTGGGGGATCCGTTCCAAGACCCCTAGTGCATGCCTGCATCATGAGTAGTCCCGAACTCATAGTACGTACTATGCTTTTTCCTACATATACAGACATGTGATAAGGTTTAGTTTATAAATCAGGTACAATAGTAGTTTAACAACAGTAAAAATGAAACAGAACAATGATAATAATATATTGTAATAAAAGCTATGTGCACATGCTCTCTCTGTCTCTCGAAATAGCTTCTGTACTCACCCTTCCTCTTGTAACGACGGTGTGGATGATGAGATGCCCATGTGATGAGATGTGAGGTGAACGACGTAGGCGTGTGACATCATGTTAGGCTGCTACTGACCCCGTGATGCATCAGAAGGAGCATTATCAGCTTCCAGACCCCAGTGGATCCCAGGTGACTGACACCATGGAAAGCAAAACTGCAGATAAAGAGGGAGAGACTATTATATATACATACATAAAATCTCTACGGTTTATACCTTAAACTTACACAATATGATAGGTCAACTCTATCTCAGTAGAGCTATAAAATGAAGAAGAAAAAAATCTGAATGTAATAACTATCTATGAGATACCCCTTGAAATTATGGTTCTGAATTCTTTTTCCCGTTCACACTTTCCCACGTGACCTCCTGGCCACATCGCAGTGAAAAGTCAGGGGGCAAGAGGACGGGACCCATTCGTCCAACAATGGATTCTGGCTCTAGATCTTGGAGATACAGCCTTGAGGACAACACTGCCTGCTCATACAGACATTGCCTTCTTGGGAGTGTGACCTAAATCCAGTTGTCTACTGGTGTGGAAGTAAGGAAGGAAGAGGGCGAGTAGCTAGACCGCCATGTAACCTGGACAGCCAAGATGAGAGGGGACCGCTCTTTCTGACTCCTACACGCAATGTTCCACACTCTCTTGCACATTCTTCTAGAGGCCAGGCAGCCACGAGCGTGGATGAACCAGTGGACTGAGCCACCACAGGCCCCCATGGACTAGCAAGCAGAGGGGCCCCTCAGCTGACAACAGGGACTGAAACGGTGGGGACCGGAGTCTAGGGTCTGCACTTTTCATCTTCAGAACTGACAAAACATAACAGGTAAATTATATCCCTTAAGTTCCATCCATTTTCTTGGCAATCCCTAGTTCTTAGGAGAAATAAGGGACCGGGATCTATCTACAAGAAGGTTTGCCCAGAAGAATTTTCTCGTTCTTCTATTGTCTATTGGCTGGCCACACTGGGTACCTGGGAGGGGTGAGGTGTGGGCAGATAAACAATGATGGAAATGGAGCCCAGGAAACTGGGCTTAAAAATACGTGTGCACAAGTGTGCTTGGGTGGTTCAGTCAGTTAAGTGTCTGCCTTTGGCTCAGGTCATGATCCCAGGGTCCTGGGATTGAGCCCCACATTGGGCTCCCTGCTCCTTGGGGAGCCTGCTTCTCCCTCTGCCTCTGCGTCTGCCTCTCTCTCTCTCTGTCTCTCATGAATAAATAAATAAAATCTCTTTTAAAATACGTATGCACGAGCATGCACGCATGCACACACACACACATACACATGTGTGCATGCACTTAGTTAAGGAACGTAGAAATCACTGAATTTCATTGCTTGATATCCCTCTAAGAGATCAATGAAATTTTATCCCAGGTTCTGTATTCATTATTCCCTCCTCCTGGAATGTTCCTCTTCCAAAATGTCTTTTTTCTTTTCCTTCCAAAACTCCAAAACTGACTCCTTCTAATTTTTCAAGTTTCTGTGAATATGTCGGCATTTTCAGAAAGTTTCCCCTGGCCATCCTCCTCGTAGTGGGAACTCCCAAGTATTTCTCAACCAAATCCCCCAAATTCATTTGCCTCGTAAACTTATATGCGGCTTGAGCTATCTTAGGTCTATATTCTGTTTTCTCCTAGTAGAGGATAAGCTCCTGCACATCAGGAGCCTGGTCTAGCCCCATTTTTGCTGCTGTAATCCTGGTGCCTAGAAGAGAGCCCAGAGCACTCTGCATACGTCTGTTGAACCAGTGAACGAATGTAGCTATGTCCTAGATGAGTAGACGGGAGCCCACGAATGTTAAATATCTTGACCCGACCACGAAGGTCACTAGTGGTAGGGCTGGGATACAAATGTGTGACACTTGACTGTTAACGTGCTTGAGTTTGTGGACTCCTGGGGGAAAAAAAAAATCCTCACATTTGGATTTTTTTTTCTTTTACATTTGGATCCTTGATGCTTGTAAAGACTTGAATACTGATGATGTGGAGACGCAGACAGATGTCAAAAATGCATTTTTTTCGCACCATCAAGTCTTGCCACCCGGGAAGAAATTAACATTGAGGATTTTCTGAATCACTAACATTTCACCTCCACAAGAGGTTTTAGGAACTCTCCTCTCCCACAAACGACATTAGCAATTTAGAAAATGATTTAAAATAAAAGGGCATTTCCGAATATTGCCAATAACAGTTAGCAAATCTCATTAATGAGATACTCTGATGTGGAAATCACTACAATTCTTTTTCAGAGCAAAATACTGTAATTAAGCCATTGTGTGTCTGTGTTATTTAGCAAATGAATAACCACACTAAGCCCTTGAGGCTTACTGCTCCTTTGGAGCATCAGGCTAATACCCTCGCAGTCTTGTCTGGAACTCAATTTAATGAGCAATATATTCTGAGCCACGCTCAGGGCAACTGACTGCTTTATGCAAGGAGATAGTAGGGCAACAGCAAAATTACCCAGTGCACTGCAGGCCATAAAACAGGAAGGACAACGGATCCCTACTTAGACCGCCTCGGTTTCTCCAACGACGGCCACCGCGCATCCAGCGTGTGAGACAGCAGGCATGTTCCCTGCTCCGGGAAGTCCACTGCCTGTGGCATTTACAAAAAGCAGAATATCCACTTGAACTACGACAATGGCATCATCCGTGCCCCGTCCAACCTCCCCTAGTCTAGGCCCGCGGAAAAGCTAAAGACGTGCGTGCTGGACCGAGGAGACAGGTTACAGCTGGACCCCCGAACAGCGCAGATTTGAACTGCGCTCATCCACTCGCAGGTGGGCTTTTTCCGATAAATACAGTCCAGTCCTGTAAATGTATTTTTCTGCCCCTTATTAATGTCTTCCTTTTCCCCAGCTTACTTTACTGTAAGAATACACTATGTGATACATACAACGTGCAAAATCTGGGTTAATCCACTGTTTATGGGAGCGGTAAGAATTCCGGTCAGCAGTGGGCTGTTAGGAGTTAAGTTTCTGGAAAGCCGAAAGTGGTACTCAAATTTTCCACTGTGTAGGAGGTTCGCACCCCTAACACCCCCCGCCTCCGTGTCCAAAGACCAGTGGTAATGAGGCATGGAGCCCTGTTAGGTCTAGCTAGCCTCACACAGGTACAACATCAACCACAGCGGAGGACGGCGCAATGAACGAAGAATGAACTCCCCAGAAAACTGGCCTGAATGGGTCCTAAAAAAGGGACCATAACAAAGCTTGTGCTCAGTATCCTTCTATGCGGTCATTCCCGGGGACCCGGGGCTGATGAGTAAAAGACGACTGCGAGGTGGCAGTCCCACACAAAGCATCTCTTCGGGGGCAGCTTGGAGAGGATTGCATTTAGGGATGTCCCTGGCAGCCTGAGACCTTCCAGAAGCTGCGGGGGGGG